TTGCTTTAGAATATTCTAGGACTTGTAAAATGTAGATTCAGATTTAAGTGTAAGTATAGTATAAACCCAGGTATAAATTCGTTTTTAATGAATTCCTTGGGATACTAATCATGACTATATTGTATATCTTACATTGTTCTTTTCAGCATGATAATTAGAAAAATCATAGCATTATTACCTATGAGTTGATATATAGGAATTATGATGAGACTAAATAAAGTTAGATCAACTGTACTTCTTCTACAACCTCAGTGAGCATCATTTTCATTGCATTCTATGTGAATGCTTTCTTGGAGCACAATTCCAGAGTACAATGTGAACAGTGTCCTTAGAAGTAATACAACTCAGAAACCCTGGAGGAAATAAGCTGCTGTACATCTGTCTTGATATGCCAATGTAACGAATTCCTAAGGGAAGAGTTGCTTCCCAAATAACCCATCTCATCTGGGTCTCCCCCTTCAAAAATCCAGGAGAGAGCTGATGTTGTCTGAGATTAGTACAGAATAATAATAGCAAGAAAAGTGGCAAGTATAAATTTTTACAAAAGACCTTTAATTTATAAAAATGGTATATAGGGCTCTATGTTTATAAAGATATATAGATCAAAAGCTAATAACAACAAATTTCAGGGTGCCTGGGTGGCTCAGTTGGTTAAGCGACTGCCTTCGGCTCAGGTCATGATCCTGGAGTCCCGGGATCGAGTCCCACGTCGGGCTCCCTGCTCAGCGGGAAGTCTGCTTCTCCCTCTGACCCTCTTCCCTCTCATGCTCTCTATCTCTCATTCTCTCTCTCCCAAATAAATAAATAAATAAAATTTTTAAAAAATATATGTATAACAATAAATTTCAGAACATAAAAATTTACCATCATGAGAAGGCAAGCTCAGAAAAATATATTCAAATATTTGGAAAAATTGGAACATAAAGGAACTTCCTGGTTTTAAAATTCTAGATAGAAGTGCTTTTCCTTTTATCAGAAAGAATAATATTAAAACAAATATAATTATGAAGACAAATTATCTCTATAGTTAAGTAGATTTTCACATTTTAATTACATTACTCATTATACAGTTGTAATCAAAAACAATGTGCATTTTTTAGACTCAACTGATTTAATGAAAATAAAACGATCATCCCTGACTTCCAAAAGTCTTCTCTTAAGTCAGTTCTGAGGTCATAAAGTCTATATTCCTCTAAAAACTTTCATCTTCTTTATTTTTTATTAAGGCTAAAAAATATGGTTTCCTGCAGTTCCTGGGTGGCTCAGTCGATTAAGTGTCTGCCTTTGGCTCAGGTCATGATCTCAGGGTCTTGGGATCAACCCCATGAGCCCCAGATTGCCTCCCTGCTCAGGGGGAGTCTGCGTCCCCTTCTCCCTCTGCCTCTTCCCTGCCACCGCCCTCCACCACTCATGCTCTCTCTCTCTTTCTCAAATAAATAAAATCTTTAAAAATATATGTGGTTTCTTTTTTTAGATTAAGCCAGTTTTCTTGCTGAGTTATATTTCCTTCTTTTTTTTATTTTTTGTAATATTCTAAATATTCTGAGTGAATGAACCCATGCTAAATCTAAATTATATTAGAAAAGCACTTGATTGCCTTTAACAAGTGATAAATACAATTACCATTAAATAATTCAGATATCATTTGAAGAACACAATTGTTTAATTTTCAGAGTATTTAACTCTAATTATTGGAAGATGACCAAGCACCTTTATAATTAGTATCCAAACCAAAATCACTATTTATAATGAATTATATTATCATTAGTAATGATGGACAGCTCCAGGGATTCATGCTACTATATAGGCAATTGTTAATTCCTGTTGCTGATAATCAAATAGGGACGATGATGCTAATGAACATCTTTCAGAAAGGCATACTTCACTCTGAGTAGATAAATGCAGAATACAACATTCACAATATCCCCCTCATGCCTCAAGGTTTTTGTACACAATTCCACAAATTAAAGGGGTTAGTTTAGATAATCTGCTGTTTTCATTAAATTATTCTTCTTTAAATAGAATCATCATAATAGCACTCATCAAGAATCTGTATATGATAAATGGCTAAGAATTATTGAGTACTCCTGTGTGCTAGGCTCTGTTGAATCACTTTAGAGTTAACTCCTTTAAACTTTATAAGAAGCCTATGAGAGGAATAACTATTGTTCACCATTGTACAGATAAAGGAGCTGCACAGAGATTTCCTCTTTACCATATTGCACTATACTATTCTACACTCTATTCTAGACTGCCTCTTCAACTGGAAGAACATCTTCTTGAATGAATTCTAAATGAATTACAATTAAAAATGACTGGTAACTTTAGAAATAAATTGAGCAAAATTTAAATAATGGTGGTTTGCTTCTCTGTTTTTCCAGTCTAATTCTTCTACTTTCCAGATACAACCTCCTGGGTACCTGCACAGCCAAAACATGAGACCTCAGCACAAAGAGTAATACTGAAATCAGGAATAAGAGATCTGCACCCAGGAGAAATCACACTTTAAATTCAGAACTACTGTATTATAAGTGCTGATTAATTACAATTTTAGGGACAGGCAGTTAAAATGAGGTGTTAAAAGTCTTCCAATCAAGTTATTTTGCAATTAATTCAATTTTATCCCCTTACTCTTGTAGACAAATATTAATCACCATTAAGCCAGGTGGAAGGTCCAGGACTTCACCATGGATGGTGCCATGATAACATAACCATAACCATTTTCAAACTCTACATCAGGGATTCTCCAAGATTTTATGTTACAAAACCATTTTAGAATATAGTTCTATTTCTAGAAAAATACACACTTATATTTAGAAGCACACATTTATATAATTCCCAGAAGTCACACATATTTTTCTGAAGACCATCCATGTCTTCTTGAATTACAAAACAAGAACTTCTGCCCTAAGCTTTTGAACACAATCTCTTATCTTCCTTTATTTGTCTCATTAATTGGTGATGGCATTTATTTACATGTCTTGCTCTTCTTTTCTTCAACTCAACATATTGAGAAAATACAATATACTTGGCACTGCTAATTAATGACATAGTAATTAAAATAAAGTAAGAAGACCAACACTTCACATTGAGATTATCAGAAACTTGTGGGAGAGACAGCCAAAAAATTTCCCAGAGTAGATTGTCTCAGTGCCTAGCCCAGTTCCTCTGGCCTCCATTTACCAGTTAAGTGAGCTCTACTCCCAATCATTATGGCTGTCGCTTCTAGCTAACACCTTAGAAGGCTTGCTCTTGGGTAAGTCAAGCCACCTGCCCTGAGTTGCCTGTACATTTTATCTTCTACTGATTCTTCCTTTTTCTTGGCAGGATGGCTGTTAGCTAATGGCAGATTCAGGCAACTAAGACTAAGCTTCCCTTTTGGGGGGCAGGGGAGGCATCAGGATAATCTCTCCAGTTCAATCTATGTTCCAGAGTTCTCATAGGATGAGGCTGAGAACAAAACACTACCTGAACCTACAGTCTTGCTTGACTTCTTATTCTTTCATTTCGTGTTGTCCTTAACTCCACACAAAGTAATTCCAATGCTGTGGAATCAATACTATTACTATTTCCACTAATAGATAAGCAATTTAAACTGGCTACTTAATGCATGCCAGGCATTTTTCTTAATTAAAGATAATTTAATAAGAGAAATTAAGATAATTTCTTAATTAGATAATTTAAGTTTTCTAAGTTTGAAATATTTATTCTGATAAAAAATTTGTAATAATTACCACTGAGTTCCTACAATGTGATTAGCTCAGTTAATCTGCATTTCAGCTGAATATGGGAGTTATTGTTTTCCCCATTTCATAGATTAAGAATATAGAGCACTGTGGCTTTAAGTAACTGCCCAAAATGATACTTCATAGATATTATTTAGTAAATTAATGAATCAACCATATCTGGTTTGGAAGTTCTAGAAGAAAATTAAAGCCAACGTAAAAAGTCATGCAGTTCTTTCTTTGTCCCTTTCCTGTCAGTAATTTAGAAAATAAAATATTATAGTAAAGGGACATTTTGGAAACCCAACCAAAAGTTGAATTATATAATAGAATTGTCTTAAAATTGTTTCATATGTAATTAAACCTATTTTTAAAGGGGTTTCTAATAATGTTACTATAAAAAACAAGAATGATTAGTTCTTATTTAATAATATGCAGTTGCTTAAATAAGTTGTTTAAAGAGAAAACATATCTACTAAATATTACTAAGCAAAAGTAAGTATATAAGAGTATCTAGCTCAGTGACTAGATGGTGTGGGTACTGCATATACATTGTTCAAGCAAATCTGACTTTGGACCCAGAGCTTAGAACGTAAAAAATCAACCTTGATGAAGTCCTCTTATAAAGGATTGTATTGTTAGAAGAAATAATTTATAGTTTTAGAATTTAGTTTAAATGTGTATAAATATATTGGGACAATTTATAATAAGAAAAATGAGAAAATATAAAATAGTAAATTAATTTAACTTCTCTTTATACAAACCAAGGAAAAATAGTAATCTCATATACAAACCAAAGAAAAAGTGATCACAGAAAATCAATTGAAAACCATACTGTAACTATTTTATAAGAAAGAGATAAAAATTCTGTTTAATGTATAAACTATTGGAAAGCATATATATTGTATATATGTGAAAAACAATTTTATTACATAATTTAAAATTACCTTATATGCACTCATATGAAGGTTAAATGCAGAAATACCTACTTAAATATATTCCATCAAGTAAATATTTAGATGCAGGTAAACGTTTAACCAATGGGGGCGGTTTTCGTTCAACATGTTGTTATTCTCACTATCCTGTACACTAGGTATACTTCATTATATGTTTGTATTTAGCCCCTTAAAATTTAAGAAATGGGAGAAAATAAACCAAGAAGGAGAAACGTAAAGAACTCAGAGTGGTATAAAGTATAGAAGAGATTTTAATTTTTTGCCTTGCAGAATAAAAGAATATTATGAAATTTCACTTAAATTTCATAACCATCAGTACCTTTAAACCAAAATTGTCATCGCTGCTCTTTTAAATGTGGCAGAAGCAATCAATTTCTTCAGCACAAGAAAAGACAACTTTTACTATCAGATAAGAAGGATTCTGCAGACAGGAAATACACAAAAGTGCTCACCACCATCTTCAATCATAAAGGAAGCTGAAAAAAGAAAAAAAAAAATAAGAAACCTATCATAAGTATGCCTCAAAGGATCAAGAAATAAGGGAGGCAGCAGTTCCTAAAGGGTAGTAATAGTTTTGTATTTAAAATGAGAGTACAGTCTTTTCACTCCATTTTTATGGTAGATGAAGGAATTCTAAGATGAAAGAAAAGACCCAGCTCTGTAAGGAGACAAAAGGGCATATCCTCAGAGCATTGACTTGATATTCTCTGGGAAGGTGCAGGGTAGTGAAAATATGTCAGGAGAGGAAGAAAAATAAGTACTGATAGAATATCATTAAAATAAAATAACAAATGAGTTTAAGATGTTACATTCAGCAATTCAAATGAAAGAGAAAAAGTTAAGGAATGAAATATTTATATATTAAGTCAATGCTGAGAAAGGAAACATACTTGGCGAATAGTTTTTATGTTCTCAAAACCATATGTTACAAGTAGATAAAAAATCAAGTACACTTTTCTGCTTAAAATTACCTCGACCCATCCCCACACCTCAAGATCCAGGCACAGCGTCTATTCTACCCACGGATCCTATGCCAGGGCTTTAATAAACCACCATTTTGCACCAAAAAAAAATTACCTCAACCATTTTGATTTCCATCATTTTATGAGTCTTCCTAACACCGAATCTCCGAAATGGGAGATTTGGTGCCATTGGAAGGTGTACATAGTCTATCAAACAGACTTTTCCAAATAATAGCAGTGTATCTCTATTTAGAACCTTAATGTTTGCTCATATTTTCTTTTTCCTGTTCTGCAATAACAATTGGTTCTTAAAGTAATTTTTCTTATTGTTTAATTCTGCAAGTTACTTAATATATACCACATGCTAACAAAAAGGAAATCTTACATCTCCTCACTATTCAAGAGAACAGTAGCACTGCATTTGTGTGGTGCTGAATTAGGATATATTTGTTTTGTAAATAGCACATGCATTTTACAGTTTGTGTACTTTTCACAAAGAAAATTGAGAGAAATGCATAGATTTTAACAAATATTTGGAAGTTCTATTAACAGAAATTTTTAAAAATCATAAATGGTCTGGCTAATAGGTGTATTTTTATATAACAATAAGGGACAATAATCTATTCTGGCACATTTTATGTGGAACTGGTAGATGTAAAAAGTTTTAAATATGATGTCAATTATGTCTCAATAACAAGATATTTTAAGTATGAATTACACTGCGTCATGACGAAATGGGCCACTTTATGTTTGTTTTCCCATACTTTCTGGGATTAATTTGTTAATATAATATTTTTAAATATTTTATGAATATAAGGGTCACTTCAAAATATTCAATTAAGAAATAATGTGAGAATTGTTTTTCTCTGTTCTTTTTGAATGATATCAATTCCTATCTTTTTAGTTTTATTTTATTGGGAAAGACATAATAGCCCTGGAACTATTATTCTAATCCTAAACTACATATTTTGGATTGTATATTTTGCTTAAGCAAACTCATCTTACATTTTGTTTTATATACAACTCCATTCATTAATAACTGCTATAGGTCTCATGGAATAAAACATTATGTTATTTGAAAATATAGAGTTACAAACTATAGAAATGATCCCTGAAAGTATAGTCTTAAAAAAAATCTGTAATGGACCATTAAGGGGGTTACCAGACAGAGAGAGAGAGAAAAACATGTGACCTTGCCAAGCAAGGATTGCAGTAGAGATTTTGTCTTTATCAAATGAACTTAAAGGAACAAGTTACAGTTAAAGGGCATGTGCTATGGTGAGTCATGTGAATTGTGTGATGAATCACAGACCTGTACCCCTGAAACAAATAATACATTATATGTTAATTAAAAAAAATAAAAATAAATAAATAAATTTAAAAATTAAATTAAAAAAGAAAGAAATCACACAAAAAAAGTTTGAATGGGAGAGCTTGCCATTGTTACTCCACAGTAGGTTGTTGCTGTTCACCTTCCTTTGTTGAGCCTAAATCTTCATAAGCTTTTTCGCAGGTATATTTTGAACACCTCTATTCATGGTCAAGACAGGATCAGAGGCCATGGATACTGACAAATGATTTGTCTGTTTTTCTCTGTCTTTTTCCATGACTCGTCTTGCTTTATAAACAAAACCAGGAAAACACAAAAATAAGTGTTTTGTGGTTTATCTAGGAATAATACAGAAAATATTGCTGTTATATTTGGTGAAGAAAATCAATTTTATATAGTTTATTTCAACCTAAATAAAATGTGAATTTTGTTTAAAAAAAAAGGAAAGAAAATACGGAGTTACAAAAATACCATCAACATATCTTTTGCTTTCACTGTTTTTACTACTTTGTAAATATGCATTCTTAACTTTAGTAAGATAATTTTTTATACCATATGCTAAATGAAATAACAAATCTACTGCACTGATAATGAACACTTTTGCAATTTCTTGTCCTCAATGAAATCTACCTTATTTATTTTATTTATTTATTTATTTTTAAAGATTTATTTACTTATTTTGAGAGAGTGAGAATGAGAGAGAGAGAGAGAGTACATGAGAGGGGGGAGGGTCAGAGGGAGAAGAAGGCTCCTCGTCGAGCAGGGAGCCTGATGTGGGACTCGATCCCGGGACTCCAGGATCATGACTTGAGCTGAAGGCAGTCGCTTAACCAACTGAGCCACCCAGGTGCCCAGAAATCTACCTTAATTAAAATACCATCCTGTAGGTTGTTCAGAACTGGACATTTTACTGTTTGAAAAACCTTTGGAGGAGGTAGATATGTGGCATAGTCCTTATGCAGGTATTTTAATCATATTATGATATTAAAATAAATTTTATTGCATCTTATTATGCTACATTAAAAGATGCAAATTATATAACATCTAATTATGTCTAGGGTTATGTATTTCAGAGCTTGAGACAATCGTCATCAGGTAGAGTATACACTGCTGGAAGTGTGTGTGCATAAGTATGATCTTTATATAACTGAAGTGGGATCTTTTAGTATGGCATAAGTTCTTCTCAAAAGTGGGGGAATCTTGGCATTCACATTCTCCTTCACAGTTAACCTGAAGAAGAAATCAGTGCTGAAGTGCCTGGGTGGCTCAGTTGGTTCAGCGTCTGCCTTCTACTCAGATCATGATCCTGGGGTCCTGGGATGGAGCCCGTGTTGGGCTCCCAGCTCAGCAGGGGGCCTGCTTCTCCCTCTCCCATTCCCCCTGCTTGTACTCTCTCTCTCTGTCAAATAAATAAAAAATAAAATCTTAAAAAAAAGAAGAAGATCTTATTTCCATTCCACCACTGATTCCCTTGTTCATTTCCCTCTAGCCACACTGGCTTCCTTTATTACCCTTGACCCCACAAGTTATTTCTCTCTTCTGAATCTTTGGAATTACTCTTTTCTCCACATGAATTATTTTCTCTTGTTTTTGTGAGAGTTAACTAATTTCCTCTCTTGAATTTCACTTCAGTTATCACCTCTCAGATATATCAGCTTGATCACTCATTCAAAAATAACTTCACTCGGGTGCCTGGGTGGCTCAGATGGTTAAGCATCTGCCTGCAGCTCAGGTCATGATCCCAGGGTCCTGGGATCGAGTCCCGCATTGGGCTCCCTGCTTCTTGGGAGCCTACTTCTCCCTCTGCCTCTCTCTCTCTCTCTGTCTCTCATTAATAAATACATAAAATCTTTAAAAAAAAAAAACTTCACTCTTCTAATTACATAGGTCACTCTCATGTCTTCCTCTTTATTCCCTTCATAACATTTACAACCAATATGCAAATGTTTAGTTTAACCCTGTACTTAATCTGTGTATTTTTTTTTAAATTTTTTATTGTTATGTTAATCACCATATATTACATCATTGCTTTTTGATGTAGTGTTCCATGATTCATTGTTTGTGCATAACACCCAGTGCTCCATGCATAATGTGCCCTCTTTAATACCCATCACCAGGCTAACCCATCCCCCTACCCTCGTCCCCTCTAGAACCCTCAGTGTGTTTTTCAGAGTCCATCGTCTCTCATGGTTCGTCTCCCCCTCCGACTTACTACCCTTCATTCTTCCCCTCCTGCTATCTTCTTCTTTTCTTTTTTCTTATCATATGTTGCATTATATGTTTCAGAAGTACAGATCTGTGATTCAACAGTCTTGCACAATTCACAGCAATCACCATAGCACATATCCTACCCAATGTCTATCACCCAGCCACCCCATCCCTCCCACCCCCACCACTCCAGCAACACTCAGTTTGTTTCCTGAGATTAAGAATTCCTCATATCAGTGAGGTCATATGATACATGTCTTTCTCTGATTGACTTATTTCACTCAGCATGACACCCTCCAGTTCCACCCACGTCATTGCAAATGGCAAGATCTCATTCCTTTTGATGGCTGCATAATATTCCATTGTATATATATACCACCTCTTCTTTATCCATCCATCTGTCGATGGACATCTAGGCTCTTTTCACAGTTTGGCTATTGTGGATATTGCTGCTATAAACATTGGGGTGCACATACACCTTCGGAACCCTACATTTGTATCTTTGTGGAAAATGCCCAGTATTGCATGCTAGATCATATGGTAGCTCTATTTTCAACAGTTTGAGGAATCTCCACACTGTTTTCCAGAGTGGTTGCACCAGCTTGCATTCCCACCAACAGTGTAGGAGGGTTCCCCTTTCTCCGCATCCCCGCCAACATCTGTCGTTTCCTGACTTGTTAATTTTAGCCATTCTGACTGGTGTGAGGTGGTATCTCATTGAGGTCTTGATATGGATTTCCCTGATGCCGAGCGATGTTGAGCACTTTTTCATGGGTCTGTTGGCCATTTGGATGTCTTCCTTGGAAAAATGTCTGTTCATGTCTTCTGCCTATTTCTTGATTGGATTATTTGTTCTTTGGGTGTTGAGTTTGATAAGTTCTTTATAGATTTTGGATACTAGCCCTTTATCTGATATGTCATTTGCAAATATTTTCTCCCATTCTGTCGGATGTCTTTTGGTTTTGTGGACTGTTTC